CTGTGGCCTTGCAGCTATAAGGTGAAGTCTTTGACCCCCTTTTGCTGTGAGGAGGAGTACAGAGTGCTCACTGTGTTGGCGTGGGTTTTCCCCGAGTAACTTCGGTTTCCTCCCACATTTTAAAAAATAAACAATTGAGCCCCCCCACAACAAGAAATAAAATCATATAAAATAAAAACAAACAATATAATATAGAACAAACAATCCATCTGATAAGAGTCTTACTATGAACACCCCTACTGGAAACAGTAAATGTCATCTTTTATACTTTCCTGAAAAAAAACCCAACTCATTTTGATTGATAGCAAGTTCAGTTTTTGGACCGTAGGTCTAAAAGTCAGTGTACAGCAATGCTAGTGAGCTAATGCTAAGAAAAGGTTTAGGTGAAACTGGATCTTGTTTTATGGAGAAAATATTGTGTCACTTTAGACCCAGACTGTTTATCTTCTTGAAAATATAATTTTATTTTCCTTTTCATTTCTCCGTTTAATCCTACTTACATATATATTTTTTTCTACTGTTTGTTTTATTCTAATTTAAATGTTTGAATATCTGTTAATACATTATCTGTGTGTAGTGCAGAGGCAGCTACAACTGTACAATCCTATACTGTATGAAAATAAATCTGAACCTTGAGCCTTTATTCTGCTCCTTTCTATCTATTATATTACATTATTATGGTACATCAGCAAAGCACTGAAAAGAAGTATCTAAAGGTGGAATTAGTAATCAATTAATTGTTTTATTTCACTAAAATGTGTGCATAACAGATCATTATATGTTAGCAAACTGCAGTGACATCTGGTGTGGCCAACCGTCCAGATCCGACAGCTCACCTGATACTCTCGGAGCTGTCTGGCCATGTCCTGTTTGGCCCTCTGCAGTGCGTCCTCCAGGTCTCTGGTCCGAGCTTTGGCTTCTTTCACAGCCAGCTCTCCACGCTCCTCCGCCTCACCCAGCTGGTTCTCCAGACTGCCACGCTGAGGAGGGACAGGGGACGAGAAACCTTACTATCTTCTGAGCCTGAATCATTCAGCAACTTACATTCGATCAGGCTGCATATTTCCTGTAGCTGTACCTGAGCTTTCACAGCCTCTATTTCGCTCTGCAGTCGGCTGATCAGTCGGTTGACCTCGGCCACCTCTCCCTTCACGATGCGGAGCTCGTCTCCGTACTGACTGGCCTGCACCGACATTTGGTCGAACTACAGACAGAGGAAGGTCAACATTAGCTTCATCACTGCTGTGTGTCTTTGAATAAAGAGCTGGGTGATATTGGGCCCATAGAGAGATTTATTTTATCACCCTCAAACAATTATAGTTTATGATGAGAATCACATAAAATCTCAGAGAGGTTGAAGTAAATAAGAAGTAGTGAGTAAGTGAGAAGTGTTTTCATTAGTGTTTAATCCCCTTGAATATAAGAATCGTTGTGTTTTCGTTTGCTTAGAATGAGACGTTTTTATCTACAGAGGGAGCAGGTCCTCTTATATGGAGGCTGCCTTGTTCCACACCATGTTTCTACAGTAGCCAAGAACGGACAAACCAAACACTGGCTCTAAATAGCTGCCACTGTAGTTTCTCTTACAACATATAAATAGAGTCACAGTCAGAACATCATCAAACAGTGCATGTACAGACAGATGAGCCAGCTTCAACATCATTAAGAAAGGATTTAAACCTGTTTATAGAAACCAGCTCCTTAAGTTTAAGCACTTTTTGCAGTTGGTTCCATGAAGAAGGAGCAGCATAACTAAAAGCCCTTTTCCCCAGTTCAGTATGGACTCTTGGTACAGTCAATAAAAACAAGTCCTCAGAGCGGAGCTGATAAGTGCCTGTGCTTTTCTGAATTACATATTTCTGCAGGTATGTAGGAAGAACACCGAGGATAGTTTTATAAATTAGGATATGCCAATGATGGAGTCTGCAGGTGGACAGGGCAAACCATCCAACTCGAGCATACAAAGAGCAATGGTGCGTGAGGGTTTTAAAATTAGTAAAAAATCTCAGTGCTCCGTGATAGACCCTGTCCAAAGACTGTAGGCATTTTGAAGATGCATACATATATAAAACATCACCATAGTCCAACACAGACAAAAAGGTTGCAGCAACAAGTCTTTTTTTGGCTTCAAAAGAAAAACAAGATTTGTTTCTGAAGTAAAAACCTAATTTTATCTTTAGTTTTTTCAAAAGCTGCTGGATATGAGGTTTAAAAGAGAGAGCATCATCAATTATAATTCCCAGATATTTATATTGAGACACAGATTCAATGATAGAGCCCTACAAAGTGGTTATAGGAGGGAGGTCCGAGGGCTTTGATTTAGCTTTTGTGAACAGCATGTGCTTTGTCTTGTCAGCATTTAAAACAAGTTTTAAATCACACAGGTTACGTTGCACAGTGTTAAAAGCAATTTGGAGCTGACAAAGAGCCTGATTTGGGGTAGACGCAGAGCAATATATCACTGTGTCATCGGCATAAAAGTGAAAATTTGTGTTCGGGGCTTTACAATCCAGAGAATTAATGTAAATAGTAAATAATAAAGGTCCTTGAACCGATCCCTGTGGCATACCCTTGGATACATTAAGAGAGCTAGAGGTAATACCTTCTGCTCACACACACTGAGATCTGCCTGATAAATAGTTTTTAAACCAACCGACAGCTTGATCAGACAAACCGATGCTGCAGAGTCTTCCTAACAATAAGGCATGGTCCACAGTATCGAAAGCCTTTGATAGGTCAACAAAAAGGGCTGCACAATGTTGCTTATTGTCTAAAAATTCAATAAAATCATTCACCACTTTTAAAGCAGCTGTTGACGTACTATGTTGTTTCCTAAAACCAGATTGAAATTCAGATAAAATACTGTTTGTTGATAAGAAGTCCTTCAGTTGTTGGCTTACAATGGATTCCAACACCTTATTTAAAACAGACAGTTTGGAGATGGGCCTATAGTTGTTTAGCACAGTGGGGTCCCCCCCTTTTAACAGTGGGAGAACAAAGGCAGATTTCAAAATAAGGGGAATTTGTTTGTCTCCAGGGATAGATTAAAAAGATAAATCAGAGGCGATGCAATAAAATCAGCAGCTAACTGTAGGAAGTAGGGTTCAAGATGGTCTGGACCTGCCGATTTTTTTGTGTCTAAACATTTCAGGGCCTTATGCACCTCTGAAAGTGTAACAGCGCCAAAAGTAAAAGCTTGTCCCTCAAAAAAACAGCTACTATCAGAGCAAGCAGAGGAGATATTGATATTGGGCCCATAGAGAGATTTATTTTATCACCCTCAAACAATTATAGTTTATGATGAGAATCACATAGAAATCTCAGAGAGAAGTCAGAAGTAAATAAGAAGTATTTTATTAGTGTTTAATCCCCTTGAATATAAGAATCGTTGTGTTTTCGTTTCCTTAGAATGAGACGTTTTTATCTACAGAGGGAGCAGGTCCTCTTATATGGAGGCTGCCTTGTTCCACACCATGTTTCTACAGTAGCCAAGAACGGACAAACCAAACACTGGCTCTTAATAGCTGCCACTGTAGTTTCTCTTACACACTCGTTTGAGTCAAGGTTCAGTTGGTTACGATCTACAATCTCACCTTTAGATGCCACTAAACTGTACACATTGGTCCTTTAAAAAGAGTTTGTTTCCTCACCCCTACCTTACTCTTGTACCAGGCTTCTGCCTCCTCTCGACTGCGGGCCGCGATGTCCTCATACTGCGCTTTGACCTCGGCTACGATCTGCTCCATGTTCAGGCTGCGACTGTTGTCCATTTGCACCACCACCGAGGTGTCTTTGATGCTGGCCTGCAGCTCACGCAGCTCCTGGTGGAGGAAACCAAATACAGGTGACGGAGAATATACCAGTGACAACAAGACAGAGTGGAAAGGGACAACTTTACATGACCAAATATTTCCAGCAATATCAAAACCATGCAGCTAAAATAAAGCTCATCTGTTCACTCATCATCAAATTACATGTCCAGGTATGTTTCTGTGCAGCTGCAGAGTTTTTAAGTGTCTGAAAGAAGGTAACAGCAACAATGACAACAACAGAAAAAAGATTTCCGCTGGCTGATATAAAAAACCTTCCAGGGACACTTCATGTTTGAAGTCAACTCTCCAGTAAGTCAGAACAATGAGCCAAGGGAAGTAGTTGAAGTACTGTTACCTCAAGCACTTAAGTACTTCACCACAGAAGAAGTTGGACTCTAATTACTGTATATTGTGTACATATTACTATTATTCTATGTCATATCTTGTATTTTCCTATTTTACTTTTCTTTAATGTGTATTTTTCCTATCTGTGCCGATCTGGAGCTGCTGTAAAATTTCCCAGTGTGGGATCAATAAAGTCTATCTTATCTTAGTTCTGGTTACCAATCATCTGAGACTGAGTGATTATTGATTGAATCTGATGTAAACAGTGTAAAGGAACTAACTGTAGCTTGTGTAACTTGTCTTGTCCAAACACAAATCAACCACTGGAGGTCAGTACTCAGTTATAACTGTGAGCTGATCAGTTACTTTAGAGACCAATGACCTCTCTGCATTATAATGATGAGTTAGAGCAGAAATAAAAGTTACTCCTTATACTGGGGACCCCCTATAACCCACTCAAGGACCCCTGTTGGTCCCCGGACCCCAGTTTGAAAACAACTGAGTAATCCAGGCCACTACAAGGTAATCCCCTCAGACATAGATATATTATCACATATTCCAGTTATTTTTTGAGTAACAGTATTTAATTCATCCAATATCACTAAATCACTGCAGTATATTTTACATTAATTTAATTAATTCTGAATTTTCCCCCTTTTTTTGTGTGTTAAAAAGCAAAGCAAATGTCAATCATAGTGATAAATAATAACATTCAGTAGAAGATGGATAGAAAAATGTAAAATAAAAGTGTTTATTACTCATAAAAAGCTTTTAAAATTGGAAATGAATGTGTTTGAACTCTTTAAAAACAGTTTTAAACAGAAAGAAAAACACTCCGGAGCC